AATCAGGGAGAGAGTAGACGGATCTTACGGGGCAAGAGGGAGACTTTGATAGGACCCAGGAAAGGACTACTTAACAATATGAAAGATTCTGGTCAACATTTCCAGCACAAGGGGGAAGAAAGTGAGAACGCCACATAGAGTGTGAAGGGTTTCATGGATGCCGCTCGAAGGAGCACACCACACTACATCAAAATAAGAACGGTAAAAATGGTGACAGGGAAGGTGTTATAGGATGATCTAGGAAATGTGAATAGCCCAGGGCAGAAGGGGAGATACCACAACTGTCTAGCACAGGCTTGGTCAAAGGATCGGCTTCACTTGTCTCTTTGACGAGTTGTTGAATGGTGCTAAGAATGGCGAGACTCACTAATGATGCCGATTACGATGCCGGCGAAACGTCTGGTAATGTACCACGTCCACGGCTCAACTTTGGAAATGATCATGCAGACAATGGACCCCGGACTAGGTGCGTTCCAATAAGTCTTCCTACCAATGTGACCATTCAGGACAAGGTGCGTTTCTATAAGTCTTCCTACCAAAATGACCAAGGAAATGATCATGCAGACAATGGACCCCGGACTAGGTGCGTTCCAATAAGTCTTCCTACCAATATGACCGAGTTGCGAAAAGAAATAATTATGCATACAATGGACTCAGGACAAGGTGCGTTTCTATCAGTCTTCCTACCATTATGACCAAAATGATCATGCAGACAATGGACCCCGGACTAGGTGCGTTCCAATAAGTCTTCCTACCAATATGACCATATTGCGAAAACAAGGTCAAACAACCTTCATATAGAGTAAGGTTGAAGTAGCCAACCAAATCATGGGAGTCCTTATTAAGATCGCGATGTTAGGTGTATAAAAGGCAACTAGGGTTGCAGCCGGTCACCTTTTCTCTTGGTTCAGCATATTTTTGCTCTATTTCGTAAAGTATGAAATCTCGCTCTGATGATGTCTGTCACAGTAAGGACGAAGGCTTAGGAGAATTGCAATGGGGTCGCAGGACGGCGAGCCGAGGACTTCTTCGTGCAATTCAACAGTCCTACGTGTGCGGCAATCCTCCTTTGGTTTCAGGTAAGGCCACATCCCGAATTCCTTCCAACCAAATCTCCTTTAGAAATGGAGAGTCATGCCACAATATTTCATTAAGAAATTTTTCGAAACCCAGTTTTTCTTCTTATTATGCAAAAAGGCTTTGCTAATCTTGTCTTCTTCAATTCTTCTGTTAATTAGGCTTCTTTTAGTCAGGATATCCAAGGCCTCTCGTATCTTATGTTCTATAGTATTTTTGTCATATACAGTCAACCTTTTTGTAGATTTATTGTTCAGTCAATGCAATGTGTTTCGCCATTTCGGATTTGTCCGTATCCATGTTCCTACATTATTTGATGTTCCTTGGTTCGTAAGTTGGTTTCTGTTCCTGTTCCTCGAATATACCCCTGATCACATTTGCCATATTTTATGCGATAAGCTCCTGAGAAATCCAGTTTGTCAAACTTCTTGTGTTGCGCCGACAGGCTGCTGAAGTGTTGGCTTTTCACTTGTTATCACCTTGATATTCCATTTTTTGGTAAGCCGCAATTTTCGACTCAGTTCACAGGAGGGCGGGTACACCCCCTTTTCGTCCTCCTATCGGCTAATGATTTTATTTTCATAAGATGAAAGTTGATATCTGCTGCCTACGACTCATATACTTAGTTGTATGAATCGGCGTGAGTTTGTTTAAGTCTTCGTCCCAGAACTCCAGGTTTATTAATCTTAAGCTTATGAGAATCAAACTCTTCAGTCTATAATTGTGATTAGAATGGAAACTGAGGCTTATTCCCGCATGTGATTTCTTTCTGAATAGTACTGTTGGAGTGCATGACCTCAGCATCCGGGAAAGGTAGTCACTCATCTTCCTCCAACTCAAATATGAATTTAATTCATCCATCAAGTTGGTTTATAAAAGTGGATTGACCTCGTTGTCGCAACTTGGTATTGTTGTCAGGGCGACTTAGTAGAACGCATCTTGTCTGAAATCCTCTGTGATAGTAGTTATCGTAATTCTCAGCATCAGATCGTGGACTTGGTACATTCTCAAACGTTCCGCCGGCATCGTAGTCTGAGAATGTATCAAGTCGGTCTGACGCTGGGAATTACGATAACTACTATTTCAGAGGAATTCGGACAAGATACGTTCTACTAAGTCTCCCTGATAACAAGACCAGGTTGCGACAACGAGATCAGCCCACTTCTATAAATCGAAAGAAGACTGTGACCATATGGGGGGCCACACCATCTTGGTTTTCATATCTTGGTTTACAAAGTTTAGGAATTCATCCAAATTTGCCTCCCTACAAGTCCAATATTTTGAATCCTTTAATAAAATTCATGAGTTCTTCGTGGTGTTCAAGAATTTCTCGTTTAATTTCTTGAGCTCCTTGAATCA